ACCAGCCCTTGCTGAGAAGGAAAGACACAGGAGAGAGCCCCAGCTGTCTCCATCCACCTGAACATTGTCTGTGGAGGACACCATCATGACCTTTGTCAAGGGATAAAATACAGACAAAGACTTGCTCTCTCCTACGTGTCTGGGATGCAGGAGACAGGGACTTGACCTCCCTGAGGCTAATGGGGGAATCGAGTGCAGGTGCCCCATGGTGTGCAGGAATGGTCTCTCTCATCACATTTGCTGTGGCCCCTCAGCACAGGTGGGGGATGCTGCAGGGCTTTGGGAGGAGACAGCTCCAGGTGGCACCTGCTCTGGGAACACATTGTCCCTGTGGCCAGCGGGGACCAGCAACTGGGTTTCTCCTTCTGACTCCTGTGGCATTTTGTTGAGCCCTGGCCATTCTCAGAGCAAGGAGAAAGAGGAGCTGAAACCATCCACACCTCCATGTGGTGGTCAGGAGTGGAATTTTTTACCTAGATCTTTGTAATTAATTTAATTGCTGCTCCAGCACTTTTTGTTGGATTGCCAGAACTCAGACCTGAAGTCTTGACTCAGAAGGATGTTCAGTTGCTGGTGTAAATGGGAAGGAGCATCCCTAGGAGTGAGAGTTTCTACACCCTCTAAAACAGGTATCTCATGGGAGACATGGGCCCAACAGACACGCTCTGTGTCAGAGCAGATCCCCATCATCAATCATTATGAGCAGGGAGGCCTTTTTTGGCACTTCTTAATTGTCTTCAGGGGCTGAAGGGCCTTCTCCTTGCGTTGGGTCCTTCACACTGCCAGTCATTATACAATCAGAAATGCCAGTTCCAAAGGGCATCACTGCTGGTCCTGACTACCACTGGAAAATGTGAAGTGTGAAATGTGAAATACACTTAGAGCCTTTTACGTGCTAAGCTCAAACCTCAGCAGCCTTTGTCACAGACCAGGAGTTTGTATTTACAGCCCTGAGGTGTTTGTTGCTGATGTGTCCTGCAGGGTGGCTGGAAGACAAACCCTTCTTGCTGGATCCGAGAGCAGGAATTGCAATGGGTTTCTGGCTTGGTGAGTTCAGTCCTGGATGCAACTGCAGCAGAGACAGAGGCTGTGTGTCACACCAGGAGGAAAAGCTTCCCTTGCCTCTGCCCTTCTCTGTTTCTACCTCATGAGTTTTTTGTTTATTTTCAGGTGTCTCCCACCTTGCACACAGGAATCTCAGCTCAGGCTGATTATTTTCTCCCTTCCTGCAGAGCTTCTATTACATTAGCACTTCCTGTTTAGTGCCTGATTTGTTTTGCTTTCTCTTCTCCTTTTTCTGCTTCAGAAGAACAACCATCTTCTGCTGGGAGTTGTTGCCTTGACAGAAGATTCAGCCATCCTGCCAGCAGGGACAGGGGACTGGGAAGGTTTTCCACCTTGATGGCAAGCCCTTGGAAAATGCAGCACCTGGGATAATTGTAATGGCAAGGGA